ATTTTTTAAACGATCTTCCTGTTTCCGAACTGCGACCTGTTTAATAATTTGAACCCCACCAGGCAAAATTAAATTTTTACCTAAAATGCATTAATTATTTTCTTTTTTACAGTTAATAGGGCAATTTTAAAAAAAATTCCCAATTTTTTCATTAATTTTTCTGTTTTTTAAAAAATGTCTTTTCAGTTTCAAAATCATTCCCTTTTCATTCAAGAAATTATATTTTCTAAGTTTTATTCAAGTGAACAATATATAAATGCGAATAAATTTTCTATATCTCAATCATTTGACTGTATACTGATGCATATCTCAGGAAATGGTTTCTCTCGATCATCACGTGCTGACACAAAACCATATTTTAAATAGGACGGACCATACTTCCGAGTTTTCTCCGTCCTAATAATTCTTTCCTTTTCTTGCGATGCAAAGAATAACCTTGATGATTTTTTAATCAACAGAGTTTTTTTTCCACACTTCTTCACCTTCCAAATGAATTTAGTGTACTCTTAATACAGCACAGGTGGAGTACATTCAAATTTATGTATTTGTACACGCTGTTTAGTGCTAGGTGTGGTTTTAATATTTTCAAAACTTCATCATTTCACATGCGAACTGATATTATCTTCCCTTTTATGTTTTTCATGTGCTTTATCTTACAATTATGTTCACTTTCGGACGCGAAAACTCAGTCATAAGAAATCATCGAAGCATAAACACACAAAAACAAATCATCCGAACTTCCATTTTCCTTTATTTTTTATAAACTGCCATGATACGCAAAATATATTTTATGCACTACATCTTACTGCGCACATGCTACTTTCTGAGCATGTGAACGTGCAGCGCAGTACAAATATATAAATTTGAATGTACTCCACCTGTGCTGTATTAAGAGTACACTAAATATAAATAAGAAAACAAATACAACGAAAATTACTTACACAAACACAAAATATCATATACAAATAGTACTACGATTATGACAATACACTGTACTTATGAACACTGGTTATACATAAAGCAATATTAATGGGGAAATATCAAATTATTTAAGATGGATACAGTAGCTGGATTTGCAGTTTATATTGTTCATTTCCATTTGGAACAAGGCACGAACGTATATATTCCTCACTACGTGTAAACGCTTCTTCCACAATACCAAGTGGTTATAAAAAATTTGATTTAGTGGTCCCTACGTCTCCTTTTTGCAAGATCCTTTCCTGGTGATGGATTTACAGAATTATGAGCATTTCTCAGTTGCATAAAATAATTAGCTTTCTGTTTCGCCCAGAGTTGATGTAAAAGTTTAGTCTGGTACAATTTTTGACGAATGATCCCACCCTTGGTAGAACGTTGTCAAAAATTGCAACGAAATACACTGGTGTGCAAAAATTAAGGACGAAGTCGAAAAATTAGCATATCAGCTGAACGAAGAGGCAGAGCGGACAGAAAGACCAATCAGGAGATTAAGTAAGGTGATGTACGGTAGCACATGCGCATATATGCAGGTAGACGTAATGGGGGAGTGTCTGAGTAGTATAAAGCATGTTGTCGGTTTGTAAGATCAGTATTTCTGGCAAAAGAGATTGCACGCCGTATAGCAGTTAAAAATCACACCGAGTTGCTGCCTCAGCGAGAAATGGCGACTTATCAATCTGTTAGACGACATCTTGATGCTTTTACCCAACGTCGAATCATTGGGAAGTTGGAGGAAGGCCGCAGTGTGACAAGTATGGCTGCAGAGTTCGGAATTGCTCACAGCATCGTTTAACGACTTTGGAGACAATTTCAAACTACAGGAACAGCTATCCGGGGGTTTAGTAGTGGTCGTCCACGAGGAACCACACCCGCAGATGACCGGTATATTGCCTTACAGGTCAGAAGAAAAAGGCGGCAGACAGCGGGAGAAATCGCTAGACACACGACACAAGCGACTGGACGACCGATATCGCGTTTTACCGTGGCCAGAAGACTGCACGGTGGTGATCTGTTTGCACGACGCCCTGTACGGTGTGTACCTCTAACGCCTGCCCATCGGAGAAGGCGTTCTCTGTGGTGCCGGGAACACCGGAATTGGAGAGACAATGAATGGGGACGAGTACTCTTTACAGATGAGAGCAGATTCAGTCGAGTAGCGATTCTCATCGCATACTCATCTGGAGAGAGCGGGGAAGCCGCAATCATCCCTCGAACATCATTGAAAGGGACAGGTATGGAGGTGGCGGTGTTCTCGTTTGGGGAGGCATCATGCTTGGTAGTCGTACAGACCTTCACATCTTCGACGCAGGTTCAGTCAACGGGATCGTTATTGTAAAGAGATTCTTCTTCCATATGTGCGTCTTTTTAGAGGCGCTATGGGTCCGCAGTTCCTTTTCATGGACGACAATGCACCATGTCATCGCACAGTAGCTGCCGAACAGCTCTTAGAGAGTGAGGATACTGAACGTATGGATTGGCCGGCACGATCTCCGTTTCTCAATCCCATCGAGCATGTATGGGATTTTCTAGGCAGACGCTTGGTAGCTCGTACCTTACCACCAGTAACGATTCCGGAGCTTCGATTGGCGCTGCAAGACGAATGGGCAGCAATGCCTCAACAACTCATTGACACCCTCATTCTCAGCATGGGCAGACGCTGTGAAACCTGCCTAGCAGTCGGGGGCGAATATATCCCCTATTAAAGACCGGATGTTTCTTGCTGGACACCCATCACAGGGATGTTTCGGCCTTCAGCCGCATTGCGCTCCATGCTACTTTTTCAATAAAGCTTCTTTTTATTCCTCCGATTTCTCTTTTAGTAAGTGTTGCTTACATTACTCATGTCCTTACGTATGGGGGATCTTACGATATTAAATGTGTTGATTTGGAAAGCTTTTGTACAAAGTTATATTGAAAAAAACCGTCTCGTCCTTAATTTTTGCACAACATTGTATATAGGATAGCTAACATTTTCTTGACCAGAAAACAAAAATGGGCTAGAATATGGGTTCACTAACGCATTGTTTGTACGAGTAAAAGGTCTATGGTTTAATACTAATTCGATTTCGGCAATAATGGTTGTCATTTCCTCGAAACTAAGACAAGCCTTTCCAGGGAATTTCCTTAAATGGTCTTTTGTACTTCTAATGAGCCTTTTATAGAGCTCAACCCACCATGGGGAATGAGGGGTAATAAACTGTCATGGTATTTCGTGTATGGCAACGAAATGTTTTAAGTCCAGTAGCCAAAATTTGGGAAAACCTTTCAGTATGATGTGTATAGTTTTAAAATTCTTAGCATTATTAGAAATGATGACCTTACAATTTTCCATTCTTGCTCAAAAGCGTGTTAAGCACAAAATAAAACTTTTCTTCCCCATATCAATAATTAATTGCATATGAAGTGCTCTAGTGACTCCACGTCTGAACAAGGCTTATGAGTTTTGCTGAGTGGTCTTTCCCACACGAAAAAGGACTGGACCATAAAATCAACTCTTTATACATTAAATAGGAGATTTTGCATATTTAATTCTTTGGCAATTGAGCTGTTATTTGTTTAGCGGCTTTTGCAAAGTATCTGCTACGAATAAGACACTTTCTTAAAAACCCCTGTATAATTTGTCTACCCTTTGTAATTAAAAATATGTTTTTAATTTTATCAAGAGTCGCAGACACTCCACCATGGAAAAATTTGTTACGTTCTCTTAAAATTAATAACTTACTGAACTTTGACTGTTTGGGTAAAATAATTGGATATATTTCATCATTGGAAAATCTGCTTTATATAAGCTTACCTCTCACGCGTAAAATGACGCTTTCATCTAAAAATGCGGCTAGCTTATAAAAAAAGATGACTCCTTAGGAATTTGTCAACCCTTTTTAAGGCATTCTGATTTAGAAAGGAACACAAGCCTTTCTTCATACTTTTTGTCTTCAAGAATTCAGCTGCAGTGTAAGGTTCCATTTCTGTTTGTTGCTTTCTAAATGTAACAAAGAATTTTTTTAATAGTACCGCAATTTTCAATGTTTTAAGTTACTATAGTTATTCAAATCTAAAACAAATTGAGAATTCTCCACTGCACATTTATTTTTTGTTGCAGTTACAAATTCCTTTCGTAATTCATTATCCTCAGTCAGTTTCTCTTTTGCATTCTGATTTCATTACATCTACTGTGAAACAGTTAGTTTCATGATTTGCGGTTGTGTGAGACCAAAAGATGCGAGCGAAATTTGTGTAATAATTGGAAATATAAATGTCCAAAAATACATAAATGGAATAATTAAGCCGAAACTAACCTCCCGCACAGGATCATTTTCAAGATAATGAAGCATTTCTATATAACAGAATTCAGTTCCATGTTGCTGCCCTGGGCTAAATGTAGTTATAACGTAATCATATTTCACTGCTGCAGAACTAAAAAGCTTGATTTCCTCTGTCGGAAAACATTGCAAGGCCGTGATTAATGCTAAAGATTACTCAGTTAACTGACATTGTGAGAATTTTCGCATATTTCGTTTTCTACACGTATATTAAACCTCTTATAATCTTTATGGCTGCTGCTCTTGTTAAAAACCTTCATATATGTTATTGTATTGCATTCTTAATTAAGTTATCTTTCCATAGTTATGCGTTCCGTAGCTATTTCATAGTTCCATAATTTTACGGTATCACTCAAAAACATATGGTATTATGAATCATTAGACCTCAAAAATACAATTTTTTCCAAATGGTTTCCGCAGTTTTAGACACTAATGTACGTAACATTTTCCCGAAAAAAACTCTTATTTTAAAAAGTTTTAAATTAATCCTGAAATTAAGTTTTCCAGAAAGCATGTATACATATTTTAGCATTGTACTTATTTCCTACTAAATAAAAATACAGACTGTGTTTAATTTTCCCTCTGCATTGTATTTTTACTTCCACAGTATAATATTTTTCGTAAATTATTTTCATACCCTGTAATAATGTCATATCGCACCGATAATAAATTTTTGTAATGAAAATTTCGTATCTGTTCTAGGGCCCCTTCAGACCATCTCGTACCCTTCCAGCAAACTGCAAGCTCTGGCGTAAAGTCCATAGTTGATGGCAATGGCGACAATCAGGACAGTAATTTTATTGCGGAAGAAAAGCGAACTTCCCGAGGCGTTCACGGAGTAAGAAGCGAAACTTGGCAAACTTTTCGTTTTAACTGGTTTCGTTTCGAGGTGTGGGATTAACACTAATAATTTTGAAAATACTTTGACGATTGAGGATTTATATTAATATGTGGGTGGTGTCGATGGCAGAAATGAAGCAGTAACACAACTAATTATAGTCTATTAACTTAAAGTAGGCATTTCAAAAACTTTAAGACCCTTTCTCATTTACAATCGTGTAGTTTGTCGTCATCGCCGCACAGCAATTATTTTCTTCACCCAGTTTGAGACTGCATTTCAAGTTGGCTTTCATTCGTGCGCTTTTCGTGAAACGAAGCATGGTAAATGGAAATGAAGAAGAAAAATATTTGGGGACTCGAGCGTCTTCCGAAGTTATTGTTACCATAATTATGAGACAAGCCTCGAGAAAAAAACGACCTTTGTAATAGATTTTAATATGTTATAAATAAAAATTTGCTTACACATTCACTAATAAATCAATTAAGTCCTGGAATCATATTTAAATTTGTTATTTTACATTAAGTTTACCACTTAAAAAAAGCTGTTGCCATGACGACAATACTTTAAGCTCAGTAGTTATAAAAAAACGTAGGAGACAGTGAGTGAGAAAGATAGTAATTTGTAAATCGAAAGCCAGTACCTACACTGTTTCACTACCTACTTGCTCAATTCTTAAGTCAAAATTTCTGAGCAAAATCTTTATTCCAACCGAAGCCTTAAAAATAAGCTCTGGGCCTTGTTTTTTGTATAATTAAATTTCAACATTAACAGAGTTATATTATTATTGCAACTTTAGTTAATAAAATTGGTATTGATACTATATACTCGCGTTCCTTATGAATAACAAAATAAGCGGGTAAACTTAAATAGCTGAGAAAGAAACCCCTACATCGAACTGCGGATTCCTTCAGGAAGAGGAATTTTTATGGGCACCAGGACAAGAAAACTAAGGCTTCAATTATCTCGTCAAGAACATTTTGAATGATTAAAAACCGAAGTAATAAAGCATTTTTATCTGACACCGAAAAATACTGTTCAGAGTAATGACCCTTCTTTCACTCTCTTGTTATATTATTAGTAATTTAGTCACCTTATATTTGTCCTATTATTTCATTCAATTCTGATAAAGCTTTTTTAATTTATTATTAATTTACTTGCTTCTCTTTGTTTTATTATTTTACTTAATTTTTACCAATCTATCATTACTTTGTGTAAAATTTATTAATATTTGTGTTTATCTCTACAATTTATTTTATTTATTTATACCTCACTTATTGTTTTAGTTATTTTTATTTTATTAACCATTCCTGATAGCATTCTCTCAGCCTGCAATACTTCTAATTTTTAAAATTAAGACCTGCCTGAAATATGAAATAGATAATAATATGCATGGCAGCTTAGATTGATTTTTTTCTCCTTTATTCAATTCTTTATAGAAAAAACGTCCGTCTTTTGTAAATGCGAAGTAGCATAAAGCAAACTTTCGTTTAGGGAATAAATTGCACATATCTTAGAATCTTTTTACCATTTAAACATGCATCACATGCCTTGAATCCAGCTGCACTTGATGTTGCTAGAGTTACGTTTGAAAATGCCAATTTTATAATATAATCCAATAACTGTATTCATTTTCAACTGCATTTTCTTACAGATTAAATATACTAAATCGTAATATCACCAGTCTATTATACTGTATTACATACAAAATTTGTAAATAAAAGAATATGAGAGACTGAAATAAAACCAAAATGTATAAATGATATAATAAATGATAATTCCAGAAAAATTATAACAAAACATATTTCTCTACACTTACTAGATCAGGTTATATTTATCAGGTTTCTTTATTAGTCACTGTATGAAAGGAAATTCAGTGAAAAATTTATGTGCAAGTAAAGTGTCACTATATCTCCATTTTTATATAAATGAGCCTCTTAATGTTTTGTATGAGCTTATTAAAAATTTAAGAGCAGCCATACTTAACGAGCTATTTAATAAATATTAGGAATGCAGCAATTTTTTTCAGCAAAAAATAAACTAAGTAATAGAATTTTCAATGTGAAGAGTAGATCTATGTTTCACCATTTTGATTATGAAAATTTTGATAAAAGCAAATTCTAAAGAACTGCTTAGAAGATAATTATGTTCAATTATTGTTAACATGACCTTAAATTCCATTCAAATAAAGTTTGAAAATATAACTGGATATAATATAGCGTTTAAATTTTTTGTAAATTAGGAAGAATGATTGAAAAGAGAACTTTAAGGATCTGTTTGCATAGTGATGTTTATTTCAAATAAATATAGTTAATAATATAGTTAAAAATTTTAATATAGTAATAATTTTGATACCTTCAATGAGATGATTACCGTGTAATTCCAGGCTTATTAAAAAGTTTCACAATGTCACAAAATATTATATGCCGATGTTTTTCTATAATTTTTAAGGGCTTTTCTCGCATTACAAGTTAGCTTAACTTCACTAGAGTAATTATAATGGAAGTAGAAGGAGTTTTTCGATTGGGATATTTGAATATGGCAAAGCACAATAGGGGTGTCTGCCTAAGAGAAGGAATGCCTTCGTGCAGAATTTTCTAAGGAAAAAGGGTTCGAATTCACGTTACACATGGAGAAAACCACGAAAACCAACCATACAGCTAGCTAGCCGGTTCGCCTGATTTCTCACCCATTTTGAACTACATGTATTTCAGTGACCGCTCGACCACTAGTGAAGCGGAGATATTTCGGAATTCAAACTTATGAAATCATATTTAAGACCATATTGAACCCCAAAAAAAGGTTTAATGATCTAGAACTGTTAATTATAGAAAAAAGATCTTCATGAATGTTTATAATTATCAGATGTTATTAATGAAAGGGAAAATATAAAAACAAGAAACGTGCAGTTCCAACTTTATGTGCAAATTTCGCTATTTCTATTTGATATATTATGCGCTTTACATTTAAATAAAATAAATATGCATCAAGTCCTTTTATGCACATTTTTATTCATTTCAACTATATGAAACTATCATGGTTGGACTAAATTATGAATCTGTTCGCATTTCGCTTTGATAAGGATGCCGGCTAAACATGTCCAACCCATCTAATTTAATAGTTTAAAATCAGTCCGATGTTATGTTTCGCGCAACGGCAAGACTTGTCAAGTTTCAATTAAGATAAATGCATGGTAACGTTATGCAACATTTGGTAACGGTCCAAAAATTTTAACCGTAAATACGTAGGAGAGAAGAAAGAAGACAGGGTTGTGATAATTCTTCTGTAATGCTTATTTCGAAGTTTAAAATCCTTTTACATGTATTTTTAAGGTACTTGCGACGAAATATTTTCCATAACAAATAAGGAAGTTAGTTTTATTTGGATTAAAACAAAGTGAAAAGAATATTTACTATGGTAATAAGCACTTCCTCCTTCAAGTAGTAGCGACTCTTTATCAGAAGCCACTAGAAGGGGGTCAGCAAGAACGAATGTTGTTGAAAAGGCATCAAAGGTCTGACCCTCCTGATTCTTCAGGAAACCCGGAAACAGAGTCAAGCAAGGTGAAGTAATACATCCTTAGGCTACATTTACGTACTCATTTTGATTGACATTACATTATTGGGAAGAGTGAAATGTAAATCTAATTTTCAATAAACAATTATGATAAAATTCGAAAGTTTATAGATAGTTATTCGACCATACCTAGGAAATCATGCATAGGAAAAGCTAAAATTACTTACATAGCAGAAATATCTTTAGAGAAAAAATTTTTGTTAATGGATATGCTTTCCATTTAATCTGGACGTGAGCAAACGGACTTAAAAAAAACCCTTTGCAACTAATTAATTCTTCTCAGAAATAAAACTTGAAAGCTACTAATTTCATTAAGATTAACTAACTGTATTTGTTTAATCATAATAATTTTTTAGAAAATAAAAGGTAAAAAGATTTACCTTTTAATCGATCTTCTTTCTAATCCAAAGGCATATCCGGGAACATTTTAAATTTCATTCATCGATGCACTACTCACAGAAAGAGAGAGACTTCTAAGATAATAAGATATTTAATTTACAATCACATCACTAAACTAAAATATATATATAACACATAAGAGAAGGATTACATGTTTCACTCAAACGTCCATCACGAGTTCTCAAAGTTCAGTTAAAAAAGTTCTGTTTTAGTTCTTGCTGCGCGCATGCGCAAATCACGTGGTTGTCGGTGAGAGTTTCAACATACTCCCACCTTTAAATTTGCTGAAAAATCAAATTTAAAATTTTAACCTTTGAACAGGCTTTACCATTCGACCACTTCTTGTAGTCATCAATGGAATCTTTTCGCTCTTAAGATCTCAAGGCAAGTCATTACGAATATCAGGATCGCAGTAAGTCTCTGTTTCATCAGAAGAGCTGCTTGCCGCATTTCTAAATCTAGACTTCATCTGATGATGTTATCTCCAAAGGATACAAACGCTTGGTTGGTCGCAAAACTTCTCCAAGCTTAGTCTTGATCTTAACTAAATGCACATGTCTATCCCGAGATCTGAAAATCTCGGTTACTTTCGCCAATAACCAGTCTGTTCGCTTCTTATTATCATCGAACACTAAAACAAGATCTCCTATTTTCAGAGGTTGTGAAGCTTTTGTATGTTCATAATTTTTAACTGTCCGAGATATTCGATTCGAAATCTTTTACGTAGATCTTGTAAAAGTTTTTGTCGATAAATAAGCCTTTTGTTTAAAGATTTCGCATCTATATTATCCAGATCAGGAACTCCAATTTGTCGAATCTCATGGAGAAACATGGAAGGTGGGATCGGAGATAAATCTTAAACATCTTCCAAGACATACGTCAATGGACGATTATTCATTATTGCTTCACAGTCACACAAAATTGTTATCATTTCTTCATAATTCAGAGATGATCATCCTAAAACTTTGCGAAGTATTCTTTTCAGGACTCCTATTAATCGCTCCCACCATCCTCCCCACCAGGGAGCTGATGGCGAAAGAAATTTCCATGTGATCCTGTGGATACTAGCTTGTTCTAAGATTTTATCCCAATTTAAGCTTTTGAATAATCTATCACTTCCTTTGAAATTCGTTCCATTGTCGGAATAGATGGTGTGGGATCTTCCACGTCTAGCAATGAAACGTCTCAGCGCTTGCAGAAAACTTTCAGTTGATAGCGAGAAAATCAATTCCAAATGTACTGCGCGAAAAAAAAAAGCACAGGTAAAAATCACTATCCATGATTTTTGATTTCCCTTCAATATCAACGGTCCAGTCAAGTCAACACCTACAATCTCAAAGACTGCTGCTTCTCTTATTACTCGGTCTTCAGGGAGAGGAGCAATGGGTGTTTTCGAAAGAATTAGTATCGAACCTCTGACATACAACACAGCTTCTTATGACTTTCTTGACAGTCTTTCGTGTTTTCAAAATCCAATATTGTTCTCATAAAGCGGA